AGCACCTCCCCCACCACGCTGACGGAGCTGAGAGCCTCCAGCCATTGCTTCAGGGGGACCAGGTCGCAGGTGCAGTCCCAAGGGTTGAGTTTTAGGTCGATCTGGACGATGGCATGGAGATGTTCCAACACCCCGGCCACCGGTAGAGCCAAGAAATGGTTGTTACGGAGGTTGAGGCGGGCCAAGGGGGGGCCAGCGGAGGCGTAAGGAGGTGCCAGCGAAGGCGTCGGTGGGAAGGGTGCGGAGTAAGTTGTCGTTGAGGAAGAGCAGCTTCAAGTTGGGCATGAGGCTGAAGGCCGCAGGCTGGATTTCCCTGATCAGGTTGTACTCGAAGTACAGGTAATGCAAACTCTGCAGGCCCCGGAACATGCCCGGAGTGAGCCGCTCGATGTCGTTGCCATTCAGGTACAGGCTCTTGAGATTCGGCAGGTTGATAAAAGCCCCATCCTGCACGTAGGAGATCCGGTTGTTCCCCAGGTGTAAGAGATCCAAGGAAGAAAAATTCCAGAAATCGGAGCGGTAGATTTTCTGGATCAAATTCCCGCTCAAGTACAGCTTCTTGGCGTTCAAGGGCCTGGGAAGGAGCTCGGAGATGTTGTGAAACCCTCGCTCCTTGCAGTTGACCGTCAGGCCCAGGTCGTTGATGTGCAAACTACAAGAGCACCCAGTAGGGCAGATGATGGGGATGGGGGGCCGGGTCTGGTAGGCAGCCACGGGCGGTTGGTTTGGCCCAGGGTACAGGCCCCGGGATGTCGGGGGAGGCCGGGGCACCCTGGGCTGCTTGGTGGGTTTGGGCTGCTTGTTAGATGTTTTGTACTCAACAGAGGAAGCAGTGAAATGGAAGGAGGACAGCATGGAGGAAGGCTTCGTAGGCCATGCATTCTCCTTGCTGGACGACAGCTGAGGGATGCCCAGGCTGGCTTCCACCTCGGAGTCGGACAGCATAGGACAGAGCTTACTTCTTTTGATTTCCCGCAGGTCCTTCCCATGGAAGTGGAAGGGGGTCTCACAGGTGATGTCCCCCACCAGGGCAGTGTAGGGGATGCGTTCCAGCCAGCTCTTCAGCTGCACGATCTCACACGTACAGTTCCATGGGTTCTCCTCCAGCTGGATCTCCATCAGGCTCCTGCCTATATGGTCCAACATCCCACGGTACGAAAGGACTTTTAGCCGGTTCCCACGCAAGTCCAAGTGGGTTAAGGACACAGACTTAAATAAGTTGGTGGGAAGCATGGGGATGAGATTGTCATTTAGGATAAGGACCCTCAATTTACTGAGGTTTCGAAATGCCCCGCTTTCAATCCGTTTAATGACATTGTAATCTGCCTGCAGATATTCCAGACTTTCCAAACCCAGGAAAGTGTCATTTCGGAAAATGTCCAATTTGTTTTCGTGCAAATACAACCTCTTCAGAACTCGGAGCCCATTAAAAGCCCCTGTCTGAATGTCCTGCAGTGCATTGTTCCCAAGGTTAATAGACACAGCATTGTTCAAGTGAAGAAAACTGTTGGTGTACAATTTCCTCATGGAATTCCTCTGCAGATAAAGTTTAAAAGGTCTCGACCATGACTCTGTTATCTGACTAATATTTATAAATCCTTTGTTGTCGCAATGTATATGGAAAAGGCTCTCCTTCACTTCACAGTAACATGGATCAAAGCAGGGCTCATCGAGTTCCTCCGAGTCCTCTATCAAGGGAATTGGTGTAGTCCATGCTAGAGCAATTGTGCTTAGAAGAATTATCCACAACATCCTTCCTTTATGAAGCGTCTCTGCCGTGGAAGGTTTCATCATTTGTTGATGTTTACAAAACTGCAACTGGAAGAAAAATGCAAATTTCAGTATTTCTGTCCTGCACCCCTCCTTTTACTAAGCCCCTACCTGCTAGACTTGGGTTAGGCTCCTGCAAAGTTCAGCAATTGTTGGGCAGACGTTCACAACCAACTCCAGGGGTGTCGGGTGGGCGAGCCTTGCCCTGATTTATGCTTAAGAGGCGTTAGAAGGTTTAATCACGCGATATCAGCCTCCCTTATCCCCCCATTTGGTAAGTGCCACCTATAAAGGGGACAGCACGACAGCACATGCAGACAACACAGCAACATGAGCACACAGGCTGAGCGTGTTGCGTCTTTACATGTTTTCAAGAACTACATGTTTGTCAGAACTACACATATTTCATACTTGCTTGCAATTTTAGCTTTGTAGCTATCACTGCCTGCATTGACTATGGGGGAAAATACCAGCGGGTAGAATTCTCCAGCGTCACACTACATCTTTCATACATGCAAACTCCCAAAGTTGTTGAATCTCAGTCCTTGAATCTCTCTCCCTCCCGGCTCAATATATTCCATACGTAAGTTCAAAGGAATGTGCAAGGTTTGCTGATGTCCCTGGCAAAATGCTTCCCTTCAGAAATCCCCACAATACCTTTAAAATAGTAAACGGTTAACAACCCTGATTTAAAAGAACCCCTTTCAAACGCGACGATGAATTAATGCAACTGGTATATTATCAGATAAATACATACCACATATTAGTAATTTTAGCTGATTAAAGCATTTAGAGATGATTAATCTTTCTAAAGCACATGCCCATGCGATCAGCAGATCTAAAGGGAAGTGACAGCTAAAGAGCTACCTAGGATTGAAACGCTCAGCCTGCCTTGGATTAGGGTATTTTGTGCCCCCAGGACCAAGCAGGAGACCCGGTTAAAAAGCTGAAAGTGGAAGAAAAAATACCTTGACACTTACCAGCTGATAAATTATCTATCCTACTATATACGTTTCCGAATGAAGACACCATTCTTCTCCAATCAGATGAAAATAATACTGTACTAATGAGATGCAGCTCCTTCAACATATGGTTTTACCCTTCCTTTCACCAGATATTTTAAATTCGTGGGCACAGAGAAATGCTAAGGATGGTAATAATAACCGGGGTGATGCAGCCTTCCTTGAATCACTGAAATGCCCATTAGAATTATTCGGAACGATTGTTGCTTTTAGTCTTAGTCTTTCGATAGAAAAGGTCCTTTTTGCCTTCCTAGTGTAAGAACTAGAAAATTTTGCCCCCCATTCACAAACTTAAGAGCAGTCAGATGCATTTAGGGGAGAGAAATGCCAGAGGAACAGAAAACCTTAGGATCAACTTGCAAATGAAACCCTCCCCTGTGGGAAAGAGATGGTTGGAAGCATGAAAAGAGAGATACCCTCTGCAATTAAAATCAGCATCTAATTGGGAAGAAAGGAGAGAGATGAGATATTGCAGTATCGGTCTCTCTGTCTCCTTTGCAAAATATTAGCCACTTAAGTTCTTTCTCTTCTGCAAGGGCTGTAATAAAAAATTAAAAAAAAATAAAGAGGATTATTATACCTTCTTTTTGGAAGAGGGGGTGTCTTTGACCCTAGGCGGAAACAAAAGGATCCAGAAAGGCTGTACTTACCGGTTTGCAGAAGAGATTTTAGCACATCGTTACAAAAAAAAAAAAAAGAGAGAAAAGGGGAAAAAAAGCTCGAGTTTAAAGATTGCTGGTTTCTCTCTGCCTCTCCCTCTCTGTCTCT